GTGGGTACAGAGGAGTCAGCTTTTCACTCGGTTCTAGAAGCATTGGTCCTTCTCATAGATCAGGGAAGATATGCGCACTTTCTTTTTTTCTGATTTCCAGTCACAGACATCTTCTCAATGGGATCCTACCACCTTGCAGGGGAAGGGATATCTTAAAGATCAGCAGTAAAAGCTTTTTCCCATTTAGAATTTGGGCTTTGGAGGCTGCTGGTGGCTCAGTTAGCTTGAGCATCTTGACTCGACTCAGGTCATGTAATCTCACAGTTTGAGTTTGAGTCCCCATCATATGGACATCAGCCCAGAGACCCCTTTGGATCCTACTTAATCTCCCTCTCTGCCCCTCCCCTCTTGTGATCTACATGATTCAAAAATAAATAAAAAAAAAAAAAAAAAAAAGGGGCTTGCTGCTATGGGGACGACTACTGCTCAGGTACATCTCACTGCTAGTGAGTTTAGCTTCCACACAGGGCTCTGTGCGACAGCTCAGAGACTGGAGCCTGTTTCAGATCTCGTGTGTCTCCTCTCTCTGCCCCAACCCGCTTGTGCTCTGTCTACACTTCTTGGTCTCTCAAGAAATAAACATTAAAAAAAATTAAAAAAAGATTTGGACTTCTACGTCATAAGTGGTAATAGAGAAATAGGGGATAAGGAGGGGCCTCCAGAGAATTACTTCTGTTAGAGTCTTGCTCTGCTTCCTTAGTACGAGATTCTTGGTGGCTCCCCTCCCAGAACAATATGAAGGGCTGGAAAGTCTCATAACATGTGGGGTCCTGCGTGTCAGATCGATCCATTCTTCAAGGTTAGCTCAATCTGTGTGCTGGCTAGAAGCGCTCAGTAAAGATCAGGAAGAGCTAGGTGGCGGCTGAAGGAGCGGAAAATTAATAGCTTCTTTGCACACCCTGGGTCAGCTGTATTGTGCCTACGCCTTAAAACCAACAGAATCGGTTATTTGATTACAAACCATGCGCTAGGATGATCCTGAGCACTGCAGTTTGTAGAGAGACTTCCTGTAACTGCACTGGGATGGTGCTGGGTTACACAAAAAGGCTTGACGATTCTGCTCTAGCTCCTGCCTGTCTAGGTCAAGATGAACCTGGTTCCCTTTCAAGACAGCAAGTTGACTTCAGTAGCTCCGTTGCTTCTTCACAGGCCGAGGCCCGCCCTAGCAGATTGTCAATGTGAGATCCCTTCGTATCTACCATGATGGAGACCCTTCAGCGTAGCCAAGTTCTCAAAGCCATTGCCACACAGCCAGGGTAAGAAGTTGTAGGTGTGATGGTTGTGCTCTCCTTTGGGCTGGCTAGTCCTTTATTTAAAGGAATTCCTAGAGACTAGTTATGAATTAAAGTGATTTCCCACCCCCACCCTAAGCAGGTGACACTGACTCCCACCACATGCAACTGGGACTTCATTGCTACATCTCATTCATCATAGGGAACTGGTCTACTGGCATCTCCCAGCTTAGAGACCAGGAGTTAAGACAGATCCAGGCCTTGATAAGGAACACTGAAATGAAACTGACGTCATGTATGGCAAGGAGGGTGAGAATGCAAAAAAGCTTTGGTGTATCAGCTTTCATATGTATTTCCATGCTACCTTCCATTACCTGCGGCTAGAGTTCTGGTTCAGATGGGTACTGGCAAAGCTCTGGTTTTTACGACCCACTTTGAGCAGCTTCCAGGCCTCCTCAGCATCCTGAACGTGAACCCAATTGAGATCTAAAGCAAAGAGAGAGGAATACATAAGATGGGAGCACCTAACTTTTCCTGGTTTCTCCCAAGTCCCCTTTCAGGGTTGTCCCCTGCCTCCCACTTTCCCATACCTTTCACATAGGGATTGCCATTCTGATCCTCACACAGCCGCAGAGTCTGCCTCTTGCGCTGCTGGCTAGGCAGTTCTAACAGGTCATAAAGCAGTTCGTTGTAGATCTCAAAGAAGGAGATCCAGATGGAGAAGCGGATGTCTGCAGGGACACTCACAGGGGCAGTGTCTGGCTGTGCCCATCGGTGACTCATTTCTGGGGAAGAAGCCAATGTACAGGGTATCAACCCTAGAGTAGTCCATCTCCCCTATGGTCTGCAGTGGCCTTAGAAGGAGCAACTTGGGTTGCAACCTCTGGTCTTTACCCCTGGCAGCTGTTGGGAGCAAGGGAGTGGGTTTCTACTGTTACTTGGCACAAAGCTCAATCATGGTACATACCATCCAGTTGGCTACTGCTTGTCATTTGACTGATGGAGGAGAGCCCAGCAATGCCACTGTCAAAGCTGCTACTGGTACCCATCCGTCCTTCAATGTAGACACTCCTCTTCAAGGAGGTGGACAGCTCCTCCTGGAGGGGCGCAGGAAAAAGATAAGCACAAAACTTTCCAGAGATTTATCCTCTTATCCCCACCTCTGTGAACATCAACACTTCACCTCTTGGAGGCCTCCATTTAGCAGGGCCAGTTTCTTTATCTCCTCCTGTCGAATCTGCTTACTGTCTAGCCAGATGACCTCATTGGAGAATATGGGCTTCAGATCAGGTGTTGCATGAAGTTGGCCTTGGAGGCTATTGAAGATCAGAGCCAGGGACCGGGGTAGGATTCCCCCATCCTTGATGGTACCTGGAAGCATGCGAAAAATGGACAGCTAAGTGCTATTCCCCAATTCAAAGCATCAAAAGGCAAAGAAAACACCATTACAGGCCAATCAGCAATTCTGTGAGGCCTACTAACTCACCTTGAATTGTGTGGGTTTTCCCTGAGTTGGTGACTCCGTATGTATAGATGAGCCAGTTCTGCCCTTTGAGTACATCCTTTACCATCTCTTTGACAGTCAGGTTGAAGAAAGATGCCTGTCCCACTTCTGGCCCGAAGATCTAGAGATAGACCCAATTTCTCAGAAGCCCATCCCTCATCTGTGTAGAGGCAGAAGCATCCCTTCCTGGGTGACTGCCTCTGGACACTACTTAAGCAACTTCTTCCTACAGTGCTGCCAGCTGCTCTACAAACATTAAAGATTAAAACCACTCTCTTCCAGTGCATCTTTCATCCAAATCAACAAATACGTAAGGAATGCTAGCCACTAAGTCTGATGCTGCAAACACAATGGGTTAACACAATGATGACAAGTGTGGGCTTTGGGGATGGGTAGCTCTAGGTGCAAGTCCCAACTCTACCACTGACTAGCTACATGGCTTCCACAACATAACCTTCACTGAGCTATAATATCCTTATCAGGAAAATAGGGACAATAATAATAATAATAGAAATGTTGGGAATTAATGCACATAAAGTACTTGATGCACTGGTTAGCACATAACAAGAGTCCCCAAAATTGTAGACATGCATATATAAGGAACTCAGAGTCAAGTAAAAAGCTTCCCTTTAAAGAGAGAATAAAGCTGCCTCTACATGTTGGTCCCTAGCTCATAAACCAGTACCTCCATACCTGGGAAAAGGTGAATCTATGTGTGGCTTGTCCAATTCCCCGCTCACTGCTCTTTTGGGCAAAGGAGTCCTTAGGTGCCTGTAGAACAAGGGTCTCCACATTCTCAATACGGACACAATCCTGAGAAGGGGGAAGAAAACAGTTGTCACAGAAGGAAATAATCCTGGGAACCCCTTCTGTTCTGCATCATTCCATCTTGAATCCTCCCTCCTCAGAAACTCACCTGATCTTCCTGTCGTTCCAACTCTGAAGGTAACAAGGGCCTGACCCTCAGGTATACTTTCACCTTCTCTGTACTATCCTCAGATGGAACCTGTGGTAGAATTCCAGGCTGGAATCAGCAGTTACTTCCAAACAGATGGGCAAACATAGAGTAGTTCCAGAGAATCATGCTAACACTACCTCCATTTCACCTCAAATGTCTCTGTACAGCTACTCTATAGTTCTATAATCATTTCAATCCACATGTGTTTTTTCACTACTTCATCACCCTTCACTATCTTTAGTATCTTGGAAACCTGGCTTGCCACAATGACATTCTGAATCAGAACTGGTTAACTGGTATGAAAATCAGCATGTGGTATTTTGGCAAAACACAACAGGTAAGCACCCTGGAGGCAGACACACCTAAATTTCAGTCCCAATTCCATCACTTAGAACAATGACACCTTGAACAAGTTCTTTAGACTCTCTGCCTCT